AAAAGAAAAATAAATTTAATTAATTAAATTAAAAAAAAATAAAAATGAAAGTTATCCATGAAGAACTTTCTCTCTGGCTATGATGGAGCAGCTGTTCCAAACCAAGCATCCTCCAAAGAGAACATTGTAAAAGTAGATAAAATGTAACATGCAACTATTTGAAGAGCTCTGTGTGATGAGAGTAACCAAAGCAGCCAGGACTTGCAGAATCAAAATCCTGGAAAGGAGAGAATGCAAAGGCAAACCCAGCATTCTGTGCCCTTTCCTCTCAAGGCAAATTGCAGACACATGGGAAAATTTCAGAAAAAAAAAACAACAACAAAAAAACAGGCAGAAAGAAACTGCTAGAGGCTAAAAACCTGAGCGAATATCTAAGCAGCCAATGATAAAGAAAATTTTTAACTTTTAACATTTGTGGACCCTGCTCCTGGGCTCTCAGGGGAAGCTATACTTTACATTTCCCACCAAGGTCAAAATGACTTGGCAAAACCTCAAAGTATAGGCTCTATCTTTGCCTGGAGCACACATTGCATGTCTGCTTCATTGAAAAAACAACCAAAAAGGAACATCAAACATACAGATGGGAAAAACAAAAGAAAGCTCTTGGTTCCCATAAGATTAAAATCATACAGCCTTGCACATGCTGAAAACATAAAACAAAGTCTGTAACTTTCTGGAATGCCCTTCATCATCATGATGTGTAACTCTTCATGTAAAAAAACATGTATAACACTGCACCAAATGTTCCTTCCCCAAAGCACTCTCTTCTTTGTCAAGATTATGTATCCTGGGCTATTGTGCTAACTTGGGCTCGTCTTTCCTTTTCTCTTTAAAAATTTTAAAAAGATTTGTTCATTTTGCATCAGTGTTACTTGGCATAGAAGGACAGGATATTAGAGAAACTCTCGCAAGACCTCCGAGCAACTCAGGCGCTGGGTACCAGCACAGGTACCCCTGTGAACCCCCAGCACCTCATAGATATATCGGATGAGTTCTCCTGATATCTGCACCTCCTCAATTTGAGTTGATGGTCCTAACTTTTATTCAAGCTGTTGAGAGTTACAGGAATGATCTCTAGGTGGGAATAACCTACAGGGGTTGGAATTGATGGGCTGGATGTTTTAATTTGGCATTATACTAATTGCTATACCTTCAGTGTAAGGCTTGAGTAAATTTTCTGGTTAGAAATATGAGACACTGAATCACTCAGCTCTAAGCAGCAAGGGACATTTGCTACTTCTGGCCAAATGATCCTTTCAGATGACTGAAAGCCTGTAACGCAAGTGTCAGAGGATATTCCTCAAGACCTGCAGGGGTCCCATAGGAATGTTCCATCTAATAAGGTAATTAATGATTGGATGGTCCAGGGGCACAGACATAAACACAGATCATCCAGTGCTCCCAGCCCCTTCGATGGTTTTTACCTCACTGAGAGAAATCCAGAGACATCAGAAGGTGTATCACGGTCCTTGGAAGTAACTCTCACAAGCAGCACCCTCTCAACCCACCACACTTGATATCCTTAGATCTTAGTCAAGCCTTATTCTACAAATAAAACTTAAACTAAAACGAATAGGGAACCATGCTTCAAAAGCCTAACACTGCTGGAAAACCAACAACCACCCACAGGAAACTCTGGCAGGCTGTACGTACAATACATGTGGAGCCTACACATGCAAGTGCTTACTAATGGGGAAATTTAAGGATAGCCTGAGTCTCAAATCCCAAATGGGGTTCTTCGACATGTCTGGATTAGTTTTCTTGTGTACACTATTAGAGAAAGCCAGCTATAAGACTAAGCAGCTAGAAACTAAGAAGCCATTTGGTGTAATCAGTGAACCCCTGGCTTTGGGGGAGGACCCAACGCTCACAAAGGTACTCTGGGCTTCATTCGGTTTGTTCGTTGCTGTAGCTTTTCATATCTTTCGACAAAACCAAAACCATTTCTTACTGGAAATGGAAAATAACTAGTTAATGGATCCAGAAATTATCCTGCTGTCTTGCAATCAGATTTGTTTTAATAAAAGGAGGATATTTGGAAGTTGGGTCTTAGATGTCCTCTCCACAAATATTACTGAAACAGAGGCTAATTATGTGTGCACCTTGTTTGTGTAAATGTCTATACGCGTTACAGATGAGGTATTTTCTCTACCTCCAGTTGGTATTGCTAAAATTAATCTGTAAAGGAGTTCTATTTAATTAGTTTAAAAGCAAGAGCTCTAGAAACTGGGCATTCTAAAACTCAGAAAGATAAAAATAACTCAAATGTTTTTCAAGTTCACATGATCTGGAATAAAATTCCCTACACTCTCTCTTTTACATTACTCCATAATAAAGATGCCTCACAGCAAGGAACCCAAGTGATGGGCCAAAGAAATAAGGATAGACAAAGACTTAAGACACCTGACCCACTTCTCAATAGTCAAAAAAATGAAGAAAAAGGAAGCAAGACAGGCAGACACCGCAAATCCTAAAAACACCTCTTAAACACAAACACCAGGACCGATGCCCAGCCAACCCACTGCCTGCTCCTCCACCTCCTCCAGTGGCCTGAAAAGCAACCAGAGAAAAAAAGCCGGTTTTGCAGGAGGAAAATACAGGAGACGGAGATAAAGTAACGTTAGTCCAAACTTTGACTATGCGTCTGACCTTGCCAGCAGCACTCCTGCCGCCTCCGCCCCGTCCTGTTACTGTACCACCATCCGGGTCTCTCACATAGGTGGCTCCTATACCACGGCCTCGTGCGCTATCCACTCCTGCTCATCCTACCGTCACTGTCGAGGAGCACAAAGCACCGCAAGCTATTGGGCCCCCTCCTTATGAAGGTCCAAACTGGAGCAGCTCCCAAATCAGCATGAAGAGGCCCGAGGGCTCCCTTGGACTTAAACCACTCACTTGAGACTTCCCCACAGGAGCCCCAGGTAAAACTGACAGTGGGGAACAGGAACAAACTGATTGACTTTTAAGTGAACACAGGTGCAACGTATTCGGTATTAAAGCTAACTCAAGGTGGCTGCTTTAATTAAAATAGACACGTTTTTGCAGTTATCAATATAAAATGTAATAATCAGCTTTTATTCTACCTGAATTTATTCAATTCGTGTTCTATCTGTTGCAATTTGTCAGCAAAAATAACTTAAAATGCTATTGGATTTTGTCTCATGAAGTTCTCATGGGTAATTGTTAAAAGCAAATAGGTTAAATACATAAAAAGGTTTATAGCTTTCAAAATCTCTGGTAAGTTAAAACTTTTGCTAGGCTAAATGAAAAATTGGGTTGAATTCATTGGGTATCTAATTTTCCAAATAAGATAAAATCCAGAAACATTTATTACTAAACAAGGCTTTTCTGCTTTTGTATTATTACCGAGAAACTAAAAATACTTAGATCTGCTGCTAAATGATTTTATCCTTTATTGAAAATTATACTATGAAAAAAACACGTTTCCAAAAACTATGAAATGTGTTCATAAATTTGCCAATGTAAAGAATTCTAGTGTAACAGTTCAAAATCCTAACTACTTAGTTTTCACTGAAGACTAAGGTTTCTAAGAGTGAAAATTCTGCTAAATGTAATGGAGACTGCTGGAAATGACAAAGAAAGCAACTCTGTATGTAGGAAAGTAGAAGATGTGCAAGAAAGATATAAGGAATGAGAATACATTTTTGTTGAGAGAAAAAAATAATTTTGTCCTAAAATAAGACTGATTGTTTCACAGAGGGAAAGCTTACAACAAAGTCTAAAAGAAAAGGAAAGTTGTAGAAGGTCTGTGAAGGGGAAAAGAATTTGATGCATGGTCAGGAATGACTATGATCAGAATAAACAAGTTTAAAAGTAAACTTGTATAGAAAATGAACAACAAACAAAACCTAAAAGCAGCAGAAGGAAGAACATAATAAAGATTAGAGCAGACAGAAATGATATAGAAACTAAAAAAACAATAGAATGAGCTGATTCTTTAAAAAAAATAATAAAATTGGTAAACCTCTAGCCACACTTATCAACAAAAAAAGAGGAAGGACTCAAATAAAATCACAAATGAGAGAGGAGAAATCACAACCAACACCACATAAATACAATTATAAGAGAACATTATGAAAAATTGTATGCCAACAAATTGGACTACCTAGAAGAAATGGATAAATTCCTAGAAATGCATAAACTACCAAAATGGAACAGGAAGAAATAGAAAATTTGAACAGACCTGATAACCAGCAAAGAAACTGCATCAGTAATCAAAAATCTCCCAACAAACAAAAGTCCCAGATCAGGCTTCACAGGCAAATACTACCAAACATTCAAAGAAGAGTTAATACCTATTCTTCTCAAACTATTCCAAAAAATAGAAAAGGAAAGAAAACTTCCAAATTCATTCTATGAGGCCAGCATGACCCTGAAACCAAAACCAGATAAAGGCACCACACAAAAAAGAGAACTACAGGACAATTTCCCTGATGAACATAGATGCAAAAACATTCAACAAAATACTATCAAACCAAATTCAACAATACATTAAAAAAATCATTCCCACGATCAAGTGGGATTTATTCCTGGTGGTTCACTATTTGCAGATCAATCAACATGATACATCACATCAATAAAAGATAAGAACCGTATAATCATTTTAATAGGCACAGAAAAAGCATTTGGCAAAGTACAACAGCCATTCATGAGAAAAACTCCCAACAAAGTATAGGGATAGTGGGAACATACCTCAACATCGTAAAGGCAATATACAAAAAACCCACAGCTAACATACTCAATGGAGAAAAACTGAGACCTTTTCCCCTATGATCAATAACAAGACAAGGATGTCCAACTCTCACCACTTTTTTTTCAACATAGTACTGGAAATCCTTGCCACAACAGCAGACAACAAAAAGAAATAAAAGGCATCCAAATCTGTAAGGAAGAAGTTAAACTTTTACTATTGTCAGATGACATGATGCTGTATATAGAAAAACAAAAGACTCTACCAAAAAACTGCTAGAAGTAGTACATGAATTCAGTAAAATCACAGGACACAAAACCAATGTGCAGAAATCTGTTGCATTTCTATACACCAATAATTAAGCAACAGAAAGAGAAATTTAAAAAACAATGCTATTTACAAGTATCCATTAATTGGTGAATGGATAAAGATGTTTTATATATATATATATATATATATATATACACACACACACACACACACACACACACACAGGAATATTATTCAGCCATAAAAAGAATGAAATCTTACCATTTGCAATGACATGGTGAAACTAGAGAGTTTCATGCTAAGCAAAATAAGTCCGAAAAAGACAAATACCATAGGTTTTCACTCATATGTGGAATTTAAGAAACCAAACAAATGAGCAACGGGGAAAAAGAGAGAGACAAATCAAGAAACAGACTCTTCACTAGAGAGAACAAACTGATATTGACCAGAGGAGAGAAGGCTAGGGAGGATGGATTAAATAGGTGATGGGCACTTGTGATGAGCAGTGGGTGATATATGGAATTGTTGAATCACTACACTGTATACTTGAAACTAATATAATACTAGATGCTTAGCTAACTGGAATTGAAATAAAAACCTAAAATGAAAAAAAGTACACCAGTATAAAATTAAAATTTGGTTTTTCTCTCTATTAAAAAGATAAGACTTACTTAGATTATTGATCTGCTCTTGATAAGAAATTACAACATTTTTTTTCTTTATCTGCTTAGAAAAACAAGGGTTTCTATATTTGTTTTTATCAGGTCTCTAATTACCTAAGAAAACTAAAACTTGTCAATACTAAAGGAGCTGAGTTTTGCTAAGAATTATATAACCTTCTATAGAATCTCTTAGTGCCATTTTGGTTAAAACTTAAAACTTAAGTTTTGTAATGATCTGTAATCCTATTTAGGCATGTGCTTTCGAACTTTTTGATATTTTTAACAAACTTCCCAAAACTTTAAATTCTAAATAAAGTTTTTCACAAAAACTTTAGCCTTGTTTATTTGGTATGTTAAGTTACATGGGAAGCACTGGCAAACAAATAATGATAAACCTTCTTAGATTGTATTATGTGGGTAAATGCTATATAACTGTTCCAGAAATTATAGAAAATTCCTAAAGTTTTAATATGTCCTGGTATAATGTCAACACTTCAAATTCCAATTATTGAAACATTAAACTGTTATGTGTCACAGAAATAACTGGATTTCCTTGTCAACTGTATTATAATGAACTTTCATCAGATCTTTAACCGTCTCCATCTTTGAGTCTTTTGTCATTTATAGTTATTGTCTGATGCTCTTACAAAATTTGTTTCATCTTCAAGGAGATTCACGAAAAGGACTTTTGACAAATATAGTTTTCTGATACCCTTAAGATCACAAAACTAAACTAAGAATTTCCAGGACTAACCAAAAAAACTGCACTCAAACAAAACAGAAATTAATAACATGGGACTAAGTGAATTAAGAAAAAATGATTATAGTTTTTACAACTCTAGTTTAAAACTGCTGGTTCTCCGCTCTTCCAGATTTAAGGAAACTTCTTCTCTTAAAATATCTATGATTTACAAAAATATGATAAAATATTCCTTTGTGAACGCATAAAAACATTTATCTTTTCTCCCTACTTGAGCCCTCCAGAATTTAGAAACTCTCAATAATTATTCTTGCTTTCATGGCAATTATAATTATTTGCAAAAGTACAATAAGAATCTGTTCTCCTTGTTACAGGACACCATTGGAAACACTGGTTATATTACCAAGGCTCTGACTGGAATGTCATATTTGAGAGACACATGTGTAGACTCAGATATGACCAGACAGCTTTAAGGAACTGAAATTGACTTTATGGAGCCAAAAAGCCCCTAGGAGGTGTTGGCCTGATACCGTGCTTACAGAGTTCCCAGCAGCTTTACCAGGTGAGTAAAGAATATCACTTCCTGACAGAAGCACAAACCTCAGGAAATGTGGGGGACCTCAAGAAGACAGGAATTCACCCAAATCTATAGGTATTATAGTAGAATCTTATGGCAAGTATTTGGTTTCACTCTTGGCCTTAAAAAATGTTAAAGGTTCAAACTGAAATTCATTACAAAAGTTCCAACAAAACAGGTTTAAAAGAATCTATATATTCAATTACTATTCCTGCTATAAATACCTATGTAAATACTTAGGTAAATAATTAGGCCAAGTTTGTTAAAACTGGACTTACTTTACAAACAAATTAGTCTTTACTGGGCTATTTCTGACAGGAATGAAGGTGACTTTAGAGAAAAAGGTTATATTTCAAAAACACACCTTTATAGATGTTAGATTCTAGTTCTGATTAATTATCTTTGAGGGTTTGCTGTTTGCCTATAAAACTGGGCTGGATCCTGAATTCTGGTTTCTTTGACTATCTGGCTATTTGGAGCTATCTCTCCAAACTAAGGTTTCCTATCTTCTCCCATTCTTTTATCTTAAAATCATTAAGAACTAAAACTGCCCTTCTTCCTGAAGTCCTGCAAACTGAAGCTGAACAACTTATGATAAACTTTAGAGAAATTGCCATATATATATATATATATAGACAATATTAGTGCCTTTGCTCTATGGGCCACTCAAAAGGATCACCAGAGACATGTTAACTATAAAGCAGAAAAACCCATCAGGTTTCTGCTGCCTGCTTCCATTCCATTTCTATATGTTGATTTTGTATCCTGTGACTTTATTGAATTTGTGTATCAGTTCTGGCAAATTTTTATCAGAATCTTTTGGATTTTCTATATAGTGTCATGCCATCTGCAAATAGTGACAGTTGTACTTCTTCCTTATCAATCTGGATGCCTGTTATATCTTTTTGTTGCCTGATTGATGAGACTAGGACTTCCAGGACTAAGTAACAGTGGTGAGAGTGGACATCCCTGTCTTGTTCCTGACCTTAGAGGAAAAGCTCTCAGTATTTTTCCATTGAGTATGATATTAGCTGTGGGT